TGGAATTGTTGGGAAAATTCTGTATAATGGTCCCAAATGCTGATTTGACTCAAAAAACTTCACTTACTGACCTGTATTAGAATAAAGTCCATTAAATCAATAATGGATTGAGTTTGTCAGAATCCCAGTGTTTCTTTTATTTCAGTAATTTTAGTGGAATTGGGATTTTTGTAGCATGACATCCTTAGGATCGAGAACAACCGAAAGGGTCCCAGAGCAGTGAGGAAGGAAATGAGAAAAGGAGAAGCATTGGGAGGACTGAGCACATTCTCATTTCCAAGGTTCATTTCCTGGCCTTCCCACATTTCCAGGGATGTGGCAAACACAGATATTTTTGTATGACACCATTTTACCTCTGTCTTTTTAAGGTGTGAGGAGCCACATGAGTCAAACTCTTGGCTGCTGTTTGTGTCAGAGAGAAGGAATGCTGCATTCCCACACCACACCCACTCCTTTAATCCCTCTGGATTCCCATCAGATGCTCCTGACAAGGTGAGCTTGGGCAGAAGAGCTCATGTGTCAGAATCTGAGGTATCGATGATTCTGAGATTGTTAAAGTCTCTGTCCTCAGCCCCGCTGCCAAAGCAGAAGCCATAATTGGTCTGTGCTGTTTCCAGGTTGTTTATTCTGTTTATCTCTAACATGTTCTGCTGCCCTGCCCAGCTCTGTCCTGCAGGGCAGCGTGTGGGGCTCTGCCCTCAGTGGGATGTGACAAACATTCAATACCAGAAACTCCCTGGGCTGCATTTACAAGAACGTGCCAATATCTGTCACCTACGTTGGACAGTGTGTCCCCAGCCTGAACCAACAGAAAAATGCCAACACCACAGTGAACATGGAGGGCATGAAGAAGGAGAAAAAGGACAAGGCACACCCAATTTCCTCCATCTTGTCCCATTTGCACGTCTCATCTAGAATCCTAAAATTTTACTTTTGCATCCGTGCCACACTTAATTATTACTGATATCAAACCCTCAGAGCTGGTAATTGATCCTGTAAGATTGAAAACTCTTTTCCATGGGCAGAGATCACAGCCAGTGTCTCTGGGGCTCTGTCCAGGGGGGTTCCTGAGCCCTGCCAGGGTCCCAGGGCAGCCAGAGGGAATTCCTGGATTCCCACACTCATGAGGTCATGGGAGGCAGGAAAAAAATGTGCTTATCAAATCAAACCCAACTTCACGGTTCTTCCTTGTGTATTTTGCCTTTTGGGTGGGCGTCTCACGGTTTTATTCTGAGTTCTCGGCGTTTTTTCTCCACGGGGAGACAAATAGGCATCAAAAGTTGGGATGCTCATTAATCTCACAGTTCCTGCTTTTAAAAAATTAAAGATGTTTTCATAATGATCAAGAAAAATGTCACGAGACTGAGAAATCACCTCAGTAGGTGGCAGTAGCTGCCCTGGGATCGGGTTCCGATGGAAATCGATGGGTGCTCCGGGAGAGGAGCTCCTCGGGCGTTATCGATCCGGGCCTGAGGGATGGCTCTCCCAGGCTGGGATGTGCAGTTTTCTCTCTCCACTCCGTTTTTCATCCTTTTCACTTTAATAAAAAATTGGTGCTGGAAATTTGGTCTGGATTTGTTTTGTAAAGCTCAGGCTGGTGAAAGGGCTGAGGGTGGGGAGGGGCTGGGATGGAATTCCCGGAGGAGCTGTGGCTGTCCCTGGATCCCTGGCAGTGCCCAAGGCCAGGTTGGAGCAGCCTGGGACATGGGAGGTGTCCCTGCCATGGCAGGGGTGGCACTGGGTGGGATTTAAAGTCCTTCCAACCCAAACCATCCCAGGATTCTGTGATTCCTTTCCTCAGTCTGGTTCAGATCCCAGCTGGAACACTTGGAGGGAATAAAAACGAGATCGTTGAGTTCTGATGTGGGCAGGGGAAAACTTCCAGAAACCCTCTGCAAGGTTCACACACAGGAAGGAATTCCCCACTGGAATTTTCCCATTGTTGTGCATCCTCTGGAGTGATGCCAGTCCCCTGTGCACCCAGGGAATCCCGGGATGGTTGGGTTGGGAGGGACAATTCCTGGATCCAGGGGCAGCCACAGCTTCTCTGGGCACCCTGAGCTGGGGCTCAGCACCCCCAGAGGGAACAATTCCTTCCCATTATCCCATCTAACCCAGCCCTCTGGCAGGGGGAAGCCATTCCCTGTTATCCCAGTAAATCCATCTGATGCCTCAGGATTTGAGTTTTTCTATTTTCCATCTATTTGTAATCCTGCAGTTCTTTGGTGCAGAACTCTGAGCTCCACACTCAGTGTCAGCTGCTGCTTTCCCATTTTGGGCAGACACAACAATTCCTCTCCAGGCTGGGAGCCAAGGACACCTCACTGCCTCAGGGCCCAGAGATGGGAACAAAAGTGAGTTGGGGGCAGCAAACTGGGGGTCAGTGACTTCATGAGCTGAAGCTGGAATTGGAAATTGAGCCCCAATATGCAAATGGACCAAACTTACAAAAATGTGAAACCCGTGACCCACTATCCATTTTTTGGTGTAGCCCCTGGGAGGCTTTGTCTGCCCTAAATGTACCTGAAGGCCCTTCAATAAATAGAAATGCTTTTTATTCCCTTAATTTTGTCTGACTCTGTGCTTAGGTATTCCTGAAAAGGCATCACATCCCCCCAAAAATGATCCCATGGAACATGTGCCTGCCTTCAGCATCAGGGCAGGGGAAAAGCCTTCTTGTTGTGCATCCAGCTCACGATCCCCAGATGTCTGTGGTGGAGCAGCATTCCTCATCCCCATCCTCTGGCTCCAAAATGTTAAATGCTGTTTTTATCAGCAGCTCCTCCGCAGGATGAGTCAGTGCCCTTCGGAGCAGAGCTGGGAATCAATAGAGCGCCGGGAATTGGATACTGCCCACAAATATGGATATCTCCAAAGGCATGGGAATGCTGCTGCTGACTCATGGCTTGGTGGAAATGCACAGCCAACACAGCCCGGGCAGGCACAATCCTGCTGGAATTCCCCGTGAGACCAAATCCCTTGGATCTCGTCCGTGCGGAGGATGAGGGGTGGGAAATGGAGCTCCCAGGTTTGGATGGATCAAAAATGTATCTCCTGCAGGACTTTTAGAGATGGAAACTTGGGGGAAACAGCAGCAGATGTTGCACCTGAAGGCTGATTTGGGAGGGACAGGTGGGTGGAAGGAGATTATTCCCTTTCCCTCTGGCTCTGGGATGCTCATCCAGAGCTCCTGGTATGGGAGGGGCATGGACACAGCAGATCCCTGTCCCTGGAAGTGTCCAAAGCCAGGCTGGGGGGCTTGGAGCACCTTGGGATGGTGGGAGGTGCCCTGACCACGGCAGGGGGTGGCACTGGATGGGCTTTAAGTCCCTTCCAAGCCAAATCATTCCATAATTTTGCGACTCCGTGATCCCATCCCTACGTCATCCATCGAGGAACGATCTCCTGGCTGTCAGCAATGTTCTTCCCCCTCTCCAAATGTTTCATGAGCATCCTCCAAATGTTCCTTGCAGTTTATCCAGGGACCCTTGAGAATTTCTGGGAACAAGGAGTCAACGAGCTCCCGAAAACCACATTAACGGCGGGGAATGAGCTGCCAGATGGGCTCATCTGGCTGCTCCCCTGGCACCGGGAAGTTTTATTGTTCCTCCAGACAGAGGATGCCTCGGGCAGCGCTGGAATCTGCATCCCAGCCGGCTGCGGGGACTGAAAGTCAGGAAGAATCATCCACAAAATGAATTTCCCCTCTCGGCACAGGAGGCTCTGGATTTCCCAGTGCCGGGTGCTGGCTCCCTGTGCCCCCACCCCCGGGCTCCCTCTCCAGACTGGGAAGGAAAACGAGAGCCACAGAAACACCACTGGGAATGTCTGAGGATAAAGGGACGTTGGAAGCCCTCA